GAAAGAAAAAGAGAGAGAAAGGGAGAGAGAAAGCAAAAGAAAGGACACTGGTTGAGAGATCTGAGAGCTTTGGCGTAGTAATATTTTCTAGTGTAAAATATTATTTTATTGTCTTAACATCAAGTCCTGCTCTAAGTACCATAGATTCTATACTATTTTGCTTTCTTTGAATGTTGATTATATTCAGGTAATAGAAAGACTAAACACTATGGTAGTGTGCTGTTAATTTTCAACTAAAGTAAAAAGTAAAATCCCAGAGCTTTCCCTCTCAGTCGTTTTATGACCATCTTGTTAGATCGCAAGATTAAAGAACTAGACCTCAATTTACAAGTGTGGATTGACATTTCATACCTGGCTCTTCTCCAATAACTGATCTCATTTTATCCAAAAACATTAGAAATCAAGCACACCAAACTTGGATTGACATAATTTAATTTGCTACATTAGTTAAGTCACAATTTAACTCCCATGGTCTATCTAATAATACGTGTTCTATGTGATAACTCTCTAAGCAAAATCTCACTTCATTTTCCAAATTAAAAACAAAAGAAATCTTTAGTCTTTCATTTTTCCTAGAAGGCTGTAGTTTGGTATATTTAAATTCATGAAAGTGGCAGTAGTTTTATTTATTGCCCTTCTTCAGCCCTGGCTAGAAAAAAAAATATTTAAGAGTTTTACCAGCATATCTTTGTGTAGCTTCAGTTGTCAAATGGCATTTTCTTAAATTGAAAAATATAAAATAAAGCAGCCAGCTAGTGCTTAAAAATTACAGCTTGCTTCTGCAGCTGTTGTTCAAATAAAAAACTACCAGTAAATCCTTTGCATTAGTTATACTAAATTTGTAACAGTCTACATCGCATGAAGTTGCTGGAAGTCTCTGGGGAAGAAGAAAGAGTAAGTGGAACCTAGAAGAAAATGATTAAATTTGCAATATCCCCTTTTGTAAGTTGAGAGTAAAATGTAGACCTTCTTTCTGGACTTAGTCTAAGAACTTAAAGGAAGAAAGAATGCATTTGTAAAATTTTAATAGAAAATTAAGAGTTAGATTGATTTAATCCTACTACTCTGCAGTAAATTTTTTTAAGTTGACATTTTTCTTTCATAAGTGGGAGAGACAGAGGCACAGAGAGAGACAGAGAGAGAGAGACAGCACCCTCAGTTGGGTTGCAGACCACAATCCTCCCCCCAGCCTTCACAGCCAGCCAGGATTATGGGCAAGTGAGCCTGACATATACAGATCGACTCGGAAACCAAACCTGTGATCTTTACATGGACGCAGCTTTGCTTCAGCAGCCCTGTATATTATCATGTTGTCGGAAAAGTCATGACACGGTTTTAGAAAAAATCTTCAGAGAGATTGTGCTATAGAGTGCATGTAATTACCAGAGAGACAGAAAGTGAGACATCACCCCCCAGGAGGGTGGGATACCACAATCCCTTCTCCTCCATTGTCCTCTCAGGATTGTGCACATGCATACACATGTGCCCAGCATGAGTTTTAAGTCACCAGGTCCAGGACTTGAACCGCAGTCAACTATGTGGGAGTCCAGCTACTTAACCATTACACCGTCCGCTGGTCCCACAAAAATTTAAATGGTATTTCGAATATCACTTTTACATATCACTATTGATAAAATACAGATTTGAACTTGTTTGAAAATCAATAGAAAATTATTTCTTGTTTTCTCTTTATTTTTTAATCTTGGAGGTTTATCAGGTATTTGCCCATGTGGTATTGTGGTTTTAAATCAGTTTGCTTTAGTCTTAAAAATAATATGTGGTTGTTTTAATAAGAGAAATAACCCCTTCCCTGGAGATTACCATTGTTAACAGCCTGGGCTATATCTTTTTTTTTATATATATTGCATTTAAAAAATGACATTTGAATTTAAAGCCTTAGTTTTATGCTTTAAAATTTGATTAGAAGAACTTTAAAAGACACTCCTTTTAAACAACAATCTTTAGTGAAGCAAATACTTCGGACCTTAAAAACCATTTATTTATTCTTCCCTCTCCTCCAAAATAGCAATGAAGTCTTTCTTGGTCTTCCTGTTGTTTTTTGTTATGATAGCACATGTGTGCACACAAGAGGAAGAGAAGCACTCACGACAGGGTTTCATCCTGCTGCAGACCCTTTCCCCCAGCCCTCCAGCTCCTCAGGATTCTGAGTACCCGTGTTCACACTGGGCTTGTTCTCAGGTTGATCCAGAGGTCTGAACGGCCAGTGGGCCATGTTGCTGCCAGCCTTCCTGGGCACTGTGTCCCAGGTACACCACAGCCGCTGGGCCAGTCTTTATTTTTCCCTGCCTTAAATTCTATGTTTGACTTGTTTTTAGAACTGAGCACATAAATGCAACCTGTTTTTTTTGTTTTTTTGTTTTTTTTTTTGAGAGAGGTTTTCACTATAGGGCACGTGCGCTTTCCAGACAGAGAGAGACATAGAGACAGAAAGCGAGAAATCACCCCCCAGGGAGGATGGTCACGCCGCAATCCCTTCTCCTCCATTCTCCTCCCGGGATCTTCGCCACGCACGCACACGTGCCCAGTGTGAGTTTTAAGCCACTGGGTCCGGGACGCGAACCGTGGTTGACTATGTGGGAGTCCAGTGACATAGCCATTACGCTAACTGCTGGTTCCCAATGCAACCTGTTTTTTGACCATGTATTTAAATCATGTCTCCTTTTCTGGTTAAATATAATATCAATGAGGAGGGATAGTTTCGCTGTCCTGCAAGGAAAATCCAGGCTCATCCTTGCTTTAGGAACAATATTGGGTAAGGCTCTTCATCAAGATTGTCACATACAGTTGCTCCTTGTGTTAAGGAGGAATTACATCCCAATAAACCCTTCACAAATCAAAAAATTTTAAGTGGGAAATGTACTTAATACACCTATCATACCAAACAGCTTAGCTTAGCCCAGTCTGCCTTAAACATGCTCAGAACACTTACTGCGGCCTACAGTTGGACAAAATGATCTTATGCAAAGCCTAGTTTATAAGAAAGTGTTGAATGTCTCACGTAATTTGTTGAATATGGTACTGAAAGTGAAAACCAGAATGGTTACATGGATATGTAAGGTTTCTACTGAATGCATGTAATTTTTGCATTGTCGTCAAGTTAAAAAATTGTAAATCAAGCCATCAGAAGTCAAGGGCCTTCTATACTTGATGGCAGGTTGAAATTCTAAATGCTGATGATTTATTTCAGCTTTCTATTGCCGTTTATTCATTATCTTAAGGCGCCAAGGGAAAAATGGATTGGCAAGGGCTGCTTTCTAGATGAAAGGGTTCTTTTCTTGCCGTTTGTCAGTGAGATGAATTGAGATGAGGGTAGGTGAAAGCACGTGCTGATGCTACAGTAAGTCTCCCAAGGCACTGCCAGGATGCAGGGTGGTTTGTGTGAGTCCTGGAAGACACTGTTGTATTTCAAGGTGGTTAGAGTCTCTTCTTCCCCAGAGTGGTATGAATTTTAAGTTTATTTCTCTCTTCCATAATAGAGTGAAACAGAGAGAGAGAGAGAGAAAGAGAGAGAGACAGCACACCTAACAGAACAGGGTCTTCAGTGAGCTGCTCCCCATCGCAGTCAGCCACAGGTCACGAGCTTGCACTAAGGTGGCATGTTAAGGGAGGGCTCTGGTTGTGAACTTCCCCATGTGGGTCAGCCTTACAGAGCACTGCACTGCCACTGCACTGCCAGTTGGCTCTACGGATGTGGATTTGGCAGGAAGGAATCAGGAAAGGCTCTTGTCTTGATCTGTGAGTGGTCACTGGGTAGCCATGAAGTACAAAGCCTGAGTAGGGAAGAGCTTTGCAGAAAATATGTTCCCTGGACCAGACAGTGGTACAGCTAGTACTGCACTGAACTGTAGGGCTGAAAGCCACACGGCAGACTGTGGGTTCAAATCCTTGGTCCAATCAGCCTGAAATGTGCTGAATGCATGCACAGTACAACCTGATGAGCCAGAGGACAGGGAAGTGGATTGTGGAGTGATGATACCCTGCTGAGGTTGCCTCCCCATTTCGGTGCATGCACTTTCTATCATGAATATAATGAAACAAACTTTAAAAATTTATTTCCCTCTACTGGAACAAAAAGTAGAAAGAATATTTTGCCGAACCTATAGAGATGCCTTTATTTGAAAATGAGATGGAAATGTTGGTAAGAATTAGGAATACTTTTGTTCCAAACTTTTTGCTAAAAAATTTCAGATTTAATTAGTTCAAATAAAGATTATCTGGGCAGAAAAAAACAACTCCCTCAAAGTATAGTACTTATGAGAATGACCTTATTTTTGGGCCAACCAAGTGGCATGGTGATTAAGGCAACTGAATTTCACATGGCTGACTGCATAGTTTGAATTCTGGACCCTGTGGCTTGAGAAATGTGCTGGGTGCATGTGAGTCAATGCCCAAAATCCTGAGAAGAGAATGGGGGAAAGATTGCCATGTGGTCATTCCCCCCCAGGGAGGATGCTTTCTCACTTTCTGTCTGTCGCTCTCTGACTCTGTCTCTCTCTAGTGAGCGCACATGCCCTATAACAAATTAAAAAAATAAAATTACCTACTTTTAAAAAAGGAAAGGAAGGACCTTGATTTTCTAATAGGCATGTTTATGTCAATTTAGCAGCACTGTTAGATTCCATTTGTCTTCCTGAAGTGTTTGCTGTTATTTTAGCTAATCCAAAGCTTATCCTAATGTTATACCAGGATAACAAGGATAAAGAAAAATCCAAAGAAAATTGACGAGTATTTATTTTATCCTTCAATTATAAAGACCTTTTCCACCAGTTCTATTCAGGTTGTCTGCAAGAATCAATATCAGTTTAAGCTTACTATTCTATTCCCTCACTCTTGCCCTGTTCCTCTCTGTGATGCAACAGGCTTAAGATAGTAATAAGGTAGATATAAGAAGGAAGGTTGAATTCAGATAACCATTGGAAAACTCATTAACTCATAGCAAGAACAGTTAACTCACTGCATTGTTCCTTCCCTGGCTTTAGGATATTCCTGCCGATTGGTATCACAGAATATGGCCCTTATCTTACTGAAGGAGGACTCTCTGGATGTAAGTCATTTTTCCAGTTGTATTTGCAATAACTGTACTAACTCTTTACTTGTTTCAATTAACATTGATAATTAGGGCTTATTTTTTTTTCTAAAATGTGATTATAAAGCTATTCTGTTTGTGTTTATTTTCTGTTTCTGGTTATGAATGAATGTCATAAAGTCCTATTTTTAAGTATCAAATAGTATGTTTAGAACATCACCTCGTGTTAACACTTTATTGTTCTCACCTAGAATGGTGCATTTACATGGAATAGTGTTAATATAGTTTAGCTTTAATCATTAAGAATGAAATATTACCACAACCTGCTATGAGTTACATTCAATGGTGATGTTCACTCCAGTGTAGATTACTAAGGAGAATTTTCTTAGTGGTACAGACTTGAAAAGAAAGATGATGCTCAAGGGTTAGAATTTGTTTAAAATTATATGGTAATGGAATGCATATGTACTTAATTCCCCAAGTTCCTAGTGGCATCTGCTCATGAAGAATTGAACAGCATGGTTCTCTGAGTATTTTATATACATGTATCTACTCCATTATTGCCTGAAGCCACCCATGAGACCAAGGGTGGGGGCTGATTTAGGGGTAACCAGTGACGTGCAGAGTGATTTAATATGAACACATGAACTTAATGATGAGTTTCCACTTGGCAAGACTTGTAAGAAGGGTCTGGCAAGCACCCACTGTCCTGCCAGGTAGTCTTTTTAAATGCTAACCCCTGGAGTAGATGACAGGGTTAGTTATATCTTTGAAGGAGGAGATGCAGAGTAAAGGTTTCTTCTATACTTGCAAACTGGAGAAGCTGGGAATCATACCGTGAAGATGAAGACATTCCTACCCCCTTTAAAAACAGGAATGAGGGATTTGTAAGGCACCACCAACAAGAAAACAGCCTGTGGTGTGAGTTCCTCAAGATTCATCTCAATGGGCCTCTTATCCTTGTTTATCTCTCAGTGTCTGCAAGAAGCACAAAACCCCAGGTCATGCCTCTCATCTCCTGGACTCAAATTTTCATATGCTTTGGGTTACCGAGGAAACCTACCCTTTCCCCAAATGTCCCATCTCCCCAGGGAACTCTGTCATACTTGTCTTTATTTTACTCTATAGAACTTTTCATTGGAAATACTGTGAGTGTGTATGAACTAAGGTGAATACACCCTAGCTGTTCCTAAGTGTATAGTTCAGTAGAATGAGGTAGGTTAACATGGCCGTGCCATCACCATCATTCATTCCACAGAATCTTTCACCTTCCCACATAAGCTCCATATCCCTTACACAACTCCCCATCTTATTCCCATCTCCCCTCTACTCCTGGCAATCACCAGCCTGCCTTCTGTCTTTATGAATTTGACTATCCTAGTACCTCATGTGAATGGAATTGTACAGTATTTGTGATTTTTATGACTGGTTTATTGCACTTAACATAATGTCTTCAAGATTCATCCATGTTGTAGCGTGTGTCAGAATTTCTTTTTAAGGGGCCAGTAGGTGGTGTGGTGGTGGGGGGTGCTAGACTCCCACATGGCCAATTGTAGTTGAAGTCCTGAACCTGGTGGCTTGATTTTTCACTTTCTCTTGCTCTCTGTTTTTGAGTACTACAGTAAGTTTAAAAATAATAATAATAATTAATAAAATAATTTTTAAAAAGAAAAGAATTTCCTTTTTATTTATTTTTTTGAGAGTTTATTTTGCTATAGGGCACATGTGCTCGCCAGGAAAACAGAGACAGAGAAACAGAAAGTGAGAGATCACCCCCCAGGGGTGATGGCCACACCACAATCTCTTCTCCTCCATTCTCCTCTCAGGATCTTGGGCACGCACGGACACACGCCTGGCTTGAGTTTAAACCACCGAGTCCAGGACTCAAACCGTGGTCGACGACATGGGAGTCCAGTGACAGCCATTATGCCAACTGTTGGTGCCAAGAATTTCCTTTTTAAAGCTGAATGATATTTCATTGTGTGTCACTGAGGAATGTAAGACAAGATGAAGAGATCTGGATAAGAGGAAAGGTAGAGGCTACTGTGTTATAGAGACCACTTGGGCAAAGCCTCTCTACTAGGCTGATATTGGAGCAGAATGGAGCAGGGGGAGGAGGACTGTGGGCTAGTCTGGATAGGAGACTGCACATCTGACTTTACCTAGGATAGTCTCACTTTATATCCGTTGTCCTGGCATAATTTTAAACGCACCCCTTTTTACTCCCTGAAATACCCTGACAAGGGTGGTAAATGACATCATCATCCTGTGTCTGGAGGAACTGTGTTTCAGGCAAATGGTTCATTACGTGCAGAGCTCCAAGGCTGATGCCTACCGGGATACTGGAGCAGGATGTGGTTTGGGTGGAGCAGGCAATGGGGAGGGTGGCAGAGGGATTCAGAGAGAAGTGCAGTGTTATTACTTGGCTCTTACTCTAAGCAAAATGGGGAGTGATTTCTGGAAATTGAGCGAAGACCAACATGATCCAGATACCTTTCGAAAGGTATCTGGTTGCTGGCGTCAGTATAGACTATAGGGAGGCAAAGTCAGGTGCAGGGAGTGTAGTTAGCAGGGGTTGTCTCTAATCCAGGTAAGAAAAGGTGAGGAGAGTTGGATCTGAATGTTGGCAGTCATGGTGATGAGGATGTTGGAGGTGGTGAGATTCTGGATGTGTAGTATTTTGACAATAAAGTTAACACGATTTGCTGATGTATTTAATTTTTAATTTTAAATTTTTTAAAAAATTTTTTTTTTGAGAGGTTTTCGCTATAGGGCATGTGCGCTCACCAGACAGACAGAAAGAGATGCAGAGACAGAAAGTGAGAAATCATCCCCCAGGAGGGATGATCACACCGCAGTCCCTTCTCCTCCATTCTCCTCTCGGGATCTTGGGCACACTCGCACACGCGCCCGGCGTGAGTTCTAAAGCCGCCAGGTCCGGGACGCGAACCGCGGTCGACCACGTGGGAATCCAGCGACATAGCCATTATGCCAACTGCTGGTTCCCTTGCTGATGTATTTAATGTGAGAGTGAAGAAGGCCAAGACTCCAAGGGTTTGGATCTAAGCAGTTGGGAGGATCAAGTTGCCATTTCTGGGAGGAGAACTATAGGAGGAGTAAGTATGGGGGGGGATAAAGAATCTGTTTTTAGACATTTTAGGGTTGAGATAACACTTAGATATCCCCAAGGCAACTGAATATATATGTCTGGGAGTTTGGGAGAGAGAGCTTGAGTGGGGAGAAATAATTAAAATAGTCAGCATAGTGTTTTAAAAATCCATCAAACTGGGATGAGCAGGTGGCATGGCAGTTAAGTGCTGGATCCCACATGGTTGACTCTACATTGCTAATTCTGGACCCAATGGATTATGAAACACACTGGGTACCTGTGCATGCTTGCCCAATATCCCGAGGGGAGAACAGAAGACAAGGGAATGCAGCATGGCCTTCCCCGCTTCCACCCCAAGGGGTGATTTCTCATTTATTTTTCACTTTCCCTCTCTCTCCCTCTCCGGCAAGTGCATGCGCCCTATAACAAAAATTTAAAATAAACAAATAAATAACAAAATCTTTAAAAAGCATCTGTGAAACTGGGTGTGACCCTCAGCACTGATTTGTGTTCTGTCTATTCCATTGATAATAATATGAAACCTTGAAACGGGCTGATTTATGAATACAGAGATTTATTTAGCCCATGATTTGAAGATCGGAGATTCAGGGGTCATCTATTGGGGTTGTATTACAACATGGTAGAGGGCAAGACAATGTGGCCTGTGTCCATCTGCCCCTTACTCCCTCTCCATATAAACACTCCAGAACTCAGCCTGGGGAGGTCCTATCCTAATAACCTTAATCCTAATCTTTTCCCAAAGGCCCCACCTTTCTGCACAATAATCAGATTAAATTTTCACCATCTTAATCCCATCACTGTGACTCAACACATGAATTTTCAGAGGACATATTCGAACTATTGCAATTAGAAATAGCAAAGAGGGTTAAGAACTCAGGTCTGGGAGCACTCCATTGTTTAAAAGTCTTGAAGATGAGATCCAGGAAAGGAGACCAAGAAAGGGTGGCCACTGAGGTAGGGAGAGAAACAAGAGAGGAGAACATTTTGGAGACCAAGCAGAACTAAGCCTTTCAAGAGAAAGAGAAAGAGCAGCTGTATTCAATGCTGTTTATGGGCCCAGTGAGCTGAGAAGTAATTATTGGATTTAGCATTGGTGACTTCATCAAGAACTATTTGAGGGGAGGGCTGCTGTGAAGATGAATGACAGCTGGAAGTGGGCTCAGGCAACGGGTGGAGAAGGGCTGGAGAAAACAAGGAAGTTTTCAGTGACTTTTGATGCATCTTTTTATTGGTCTTAGTTTAGCATGGTAATCTATGTCCTTTTCCTGCTTGCCAGAGAGAGAGAGAAACAGTCAGAGAGAGAGGGCAAGGGAGAAAGTCCCGCCCGATAAGGTATGGTGACATTGCATACACGTCTGGTGTGTTTTTCAAGCTCTGGGGCTGGGATTCAAACCACAGTCAGCCACATGAGATCTACTTCCTTAACAACTAGGCCACAAGTAGTCCAAAGAAACTAGCAGTTTTAAATAATTTATATTTAAATAGCTGTGTATACTAGTGGCTATCATACTGAGCAGCACAGTGGAGATCATTTTCAGTCCCCTAGCCTGGGGTCAAACTCTGGCCAGCAAGTCAAACCAGATCCACCACCTGCTTTCGCAAATAAAGTTTTATTGAAACACAACCATATACATGCGTTTGTATATTGCGAAGGATTGCTGTAGTGCTAAAATGTCAGAGTTGAGCAGCTCCGACACAAACCACATAGCTCATAAATTTTAATATATTTACTATCTGGTCCTTCACAGATAGTTTATTGACTACTGTCTTGTCCAGTCAAATGGAAACTGGCCCAATTCTAGTTTCATTATCTGATGTAAATACATTTCTAAAACAGTATTTTTTTTTTTTAAGTTAGCGAACGCTTGCAGAGAAATGGGATCTGTGG